CCAACAAAAACCCAAAAAGGAATACATGGCAGTACTTGGAAGTTGTCTCCACCAAGACTGTTGGCTCACTCACCTTCTCACCTGTGTGAAATTGGCTCTCTAAAAGAAGTCACATTGTCACCAATAAGTGAGTCTCATAGTGAAGAAACCATACCAAGTGACAGTGGAATTGGTACAGACAACAACAGCACTTCTGACCAAGCTGAGAAAAGCTCAGAATCACGTAGAAGATATTCTTTCGACTTCTGTGCCCTGGACAATCCAGAGGTTACTCCTTCTGACACCAGCACAAAGAGCAAGCATGGTCACAGACCAAAACATCTCATCGTTGATAACTTTCTTGTTAATGAAAGTGTTAAAAAGCCAAAGCACAAGAGAAAGAGGAAATGTTTGCAGAACAGGGATAATCTGCAGTTTCTTGCAGATCTTGATGAACTTATCAACAAATTTCAAATCTTCAGAATTTCCCATAGAAGCTACTCATTTTACCATGAAAACCCTTACCCTAGTATATTCAGGATTAATTTTGATCACTATTACCCAGTGCCATATATTCAGTATGACCCATTGCTCTACCTTCGCAGGACTTCTGATATGAAATCTAAGAAAAAGCGTGGTAGACCTGCCAAAACCAATGACACCATGACAAAGGTGCCTTTTTTACAAGGGTTTGGATACCCTGTTCCAAGTGGAAGTTACTATGCACCATATGGAATGCCTTACACATCAATGCCTATGATGAACCTTGGTTATTATGGTCAGTATCCAGCTCCTTTGTATCTGTCTCACACACTTGGGGCAACATCTCCATTTATGAGACCCTCTGTACCACCACCACAGTTTCACACGACCTCTCACATGAAGATGTCTACTGCTGCCAAGCATAAAACAAAGCATGGTGTGCATCTGCAGCCATCAGTAGGACTGGGACTAGGTGACATGCAGTCATCTTTAGCCCAAAAAACTGGAGGAGTTGGTCTGTCAAGCAGCCGGCTTCACAAAAGGAAACATAAACACAAGCACAAACATAAGGATGATCGCATCCTTGGGGGTCACAGTGATTTTGGTGGTCTCTTTTCCAGCAAGTCAACTAGCTTTTCAAGCCATGCATCAAATGAGAAGCTTAGTCCTTCTGGTAAGGAACTTTCCTCCTTAAATGAGAAAAGCAAACATAAAGAGAGGCAGAAGCACCAGCATTGTGAACCTGTGCAAAGAAGTTCAAAGAGCAGCTTTGAGGTAGACACACTGTCATCATTGTCTCTTTCAGATGGTCAGCATTGGTCACAATCAAAAGATAAAACTGACTTAAACAATGAATCTCTTGATAGTTGTTTAAAAAAGTATTCTGGGAATAATGACTGCAATATAAGAGCAGATCCTTCTGACATTTTTGTTGAAATGAGTTCATCAATTGAAAGGAGAGACTGTGATGGAAGTGTTGGAAAAAGGCGGACCTTTGAAGGCTTTGGATCATACAGAGAAAGAGACCTTCAGTCTTTTAGACTCAACAAGAGGGACAGGAACTCTTTCGATCCTGCTGGATCAGGTAAGGGCAATAATCTGTTCTGTTTGTCGGAAACCTAAGGTATTTTGAAGTGTTAAAAAAAATGAATCCAATAGTATGTTCCTGACTCTCTAATACACATAGTTTTTAGTTATTTTTTTTCTTTTCTTTGTATTACTCAAAGGAATGTTGATTCCAAAGGAAATATTATGTTAATTGATACCAAAGATACAGGTAGGCATTATACCTCTTTGGGCAGAGTATTGACAAAGGAGACAAAATAGAGATCTAATAGAAGCATTTTAATAAACTTTAAAAAAAAAAATACAAAGACAAGACATGATTGGAAGTTAGACTGATGGGTACTCTTCTGATTTTGGCTTTTGCGCTCCAACATCCATGTCGCCTCAAAGGCAATCAGGAATTTCTGGATTTTTTTATTTTTTTTATTATTTTTTTTGTCCAAGAGCCATAACCACTACATTTGGTGCTGTCTGTTTAGCTGTTTTAAAGTAGTTTGACAAGAAATGGAGGTGTACCTGGCATCCAGAGCTAATACGTCTGTCACATATGTGATGATAAATCCGCTCCTAATTTCTATTAACTTATTCACCACTTGAGATATTCACCACTCCTGTGATACAGAAATTGGCTGGCATCAAAGGGGTTAATTGCAGTTTGGCAGAACAATACATTAAGATGGAGTGGTTATGGTGCTTGGGTGTCCCTTTAAGAAATTCTTTTAGCATGAAATTACATTTTAATATGTTCATAATTATAATGAAATCCATATTACAGTAAAGTAATTTAATGCTTTTGAATAAAGTTAGTGCAGTTAACATGATTGTTAATTTTGTGATTGCAACTTGTATTCTCCTTTGGTGTTAGGATGTTATTCTCTGTTATTCTGCTGGGCAATGGTTTTCTCTTAATTAAACTGAAATTGAAATGATAATTAAATGAGCTTGTTCATAATAAAATAATGAACCAAAGAGCATAAATTATTCTTTATTCCCATCACCATTGGAAAAGAAAAAAATGGCAAATTCAAAAAGTCTGATCTACTAATGTATCAAATCTGACACTATACATATCCCTATTATTCCCACCCCCACCACCAAATAAAAGTAGTCAGAGATATCACTCAACAATATTTTTTTTTAAACCAGCAAGCAACCACTTTTAAGAAAATCTACAAATTGAAATAAAACTAGAAAAATATATGTAGCAAATGTTTATAAACCCACTAGACCAGGCATAGGCATCCTTCGGCACTGCAGATGTTTTGGACTACACCTCCCATGATGCTTTGTGTGTAAGAGCATTATGGGGAATGTAGTCCACAGCATCTGGCATTCCGAAGGTTGCCTATCCCTGCACTATACGCTTGTTCAAATTGCATTATTGGGTATGCCTCTTAGCTAGGGGAGTTTCTTCAGCTTCCTCCCTTGCCGCCTTCTGCACCGATCTCCATTTCAGACCAGTCCACTAATGTCAGAAAAAGGACATAATTGTACAGCTGCTGGAGAGAGAAACTAATCATGCTCTGCATGAACACACTACCTTTTTTCCCTCATCAGGATGTTACAGTGAAGGGATCTTTCAACTACACTTTCAACTAACTCTGCCAGACATGCCCAATGTTTTTTTGCAGTATTCCTAACGCTAACTTTGGCCAGTGTTTGTGACTAAGTGGCTACTGAAAAAGACTGGACATACCCCATTTGTAATACCTTGGGTCATCTGCTTTTGCAAATGGTATGCCATCATGGAGGTAATTTTCATTCCTGGGCTACCATTTGGTTTGAAAGGCAACATAACCAGTCTGGGAAATTTCAATGTGTATAAACTGAAAAATGTAATGCACTATATTTGACCCTGTAACTTTCCAAAACACCATAATACCTGTACGTTGGAGGGGTACTGTTTTACTTGTGAGACATCGCTGAATACAAATATGTGTACTTTATTGCCGTAACAGCTAACAGTATTGTGACATTCACAGTTAAAATGCCATGCTGAACTAAAAAAATAACATTTCTTAATTTCTCACATTTTTAAAATATTTTATTAATATTAACCCCTTAACGACCATTACGGCGTTCTTTGCCATCCACATTCTAATGGGCTTTAAAGCCGCTGCGGCGGCATAGAACGCCATAACGGCTTAAGCCCCCCAAGAGCTACGGTGGACTTACCTCTTCCGCGATCCTCTTAGGGAAGACTTTCTGACAGCCCTACCCAGGTAAATCAAACGCATGCCCCCCTATAGCTGGCTGTGGATCTGCCAACAGGGGGACTATCTGGGCTGTCAGACAAGTCCCCCTGCTGGTGGGAAGAATAAAAAAAAATTATTAAACATGTAAAATAAATTAAATGTACGTGTGTGTGTGTATGTATATGTATGTATATCCAAATGCTTGCACTCCAGTATCAATTAAGTTAAGCCCGGTGCTTGTTGGCAATAATAATAGAACAAAACAGTAGAAAGTAGCACTCCAGGGACTTCATAGGTATAGTGAAAAGAGTAACTTAGCTTTATTCAGCAACTGCCACAAAGTGTCAACGTTTCAGTTCTTGTGCTGAACTCCTGCACGAAACTTTCTGCACAAGAACTGAAACTGAAACGTTGATACTTTGTGGCAGTTGCTGAATAAAGCTAAGTTAGTTTTTTCACTATACCTATGAAGTCCCTGGAGTTCTACTTTCTACTATATATATATATATTTTTTTATATATATATATATATATATATATAGGTATAGGTATGTGTGTGTGTGTAGGTATGTGTGTGTGTGTGTAGTGTGTGTGTGTGTGTGTGTGTAGGTATGTGTGTGTGTGGGTATGTGTGTGTGTGTGTGTGTGTGTGTGTGTGTGTGTGTGTGTGTGTGTGTGTGTGTGTGTGTGTGTGTGTGTGTGTGTGGGTATGTGTGTGTGTGTGTAGGTATGTGTGTGTGTGTGTGTGTGGTATGTGTGTGTGTGTGTGTGTGTGTGTGTGTGTGGTGTGTGTGTGGGTGTGTGTGTGTGGGTATGTGTGTAGGTATGTGTGTGTAGTGTGTGTGTGTGTATGTGTGTGTGTGTGTGTAGGTATAGGTATGTGTGTGTGTGTAGGTGTGTGTAGGTGTGTGTGTGTGTAGGTGTGTGTAGGTGTGTGTGTGTGTGTAGGTATATGTGTGTGTTTGTAGGTGTATGTAAATTGTATTACAACGATGATATTTTTAGTAAAAGTAAATTTTTGTTTGCATTTTTCACACATGAACTGCACTTTTACTGACAATATTATTGTTGTAATACATTTTACTGTTTTGAAACACTGTGTTCAGTGAAGTCTCCCAAGTATAACATTACCCCCACATGTACAGGTTTTATGGTGTTTTGGAAAGTTAGAGAGTCAAATAGAAGGCTTGCATTTCATTCTTTTCACATTGAAATTTGCCAGTTTGGTAATGTTGCATTTGAGACCGTATGGTAGCCCAGGAATGGGAATTATCCCCATGATGGCATACCATTTGAAAAAGTAGACAACCCAAGGTATTGCAAGTGAGGTATGTCCAGTCTTTTGTAGTAGCCACGTGGTCACAAACACTGGCCAAATATAATTTTTTTTGCTTTTTTTCACACTAAAACAAATATGAACGCTAACTTTGGCCAGTGTTTATGACTAAGTGGCTGCTAAAAAAGACTTGACATTCCCCACTTGCAATACCTTGGGTTGTCTACTTTTGCAAATGGTATGCCATCATGGAGGTAATTCTCATTCCTGGGCTACCACATGGTCTCAAAGGTAACATTACTAATCTGGCAAATTTCCATGTGAAAAAATAAACGGAAAAATGGAATGTGCTATGACCCTGTAACTTGCCTAAACACCACAACAGTACTGTTGTACTCATGAGACTTTGCTGAATACAAATATTTGCATTTTATTGCAGTAAAAGCCAACAGTATTATGACATTTACAGCTAAAATGTCAGGCAGAACTACAATTTTTTTTTTTTTTTAAATCTTAATTTCTCAGTTTTATTTTATTCAAAATAAATTTTTTCATATATGAATAGTTAACGCAAACTATTAAATCCCTGTTTCTCCTGAATATAATTATATATAATAAGTGTGGGTGCACTTAATATGAAAGAGGTGAATTCTGGTTGAACAGACATATAGCGCAAATGCCAGTTTTTGTTTACATTTTGCTTTGATCAGAACGTGTACAATTGACTCTGTCCTGAAGGGGTTAAATTATGTTTCATATATAAATATTTGATATGAAATGAAAGCCCTGTTTCTCCTGAACAAAATTATATATACATGTGTGCATTTAATATGAAAGAGGTGAATTCTGGTTGAACAGACATATAGCGCAAATTCCAGTTTTTGTTTACATTTTGCTTTGATCACAACTTGTACAACTGCCTAGTCCTATAGGGGTTAAGTTGGTCCTGTTATTTTAACTCTTCCATGTAAAACATTGCATTTTTGTAGAAACAGCCATTTTTAAACAGAACGGTTAAATACACCTCTATAGAAGGAGTTTAAAAAAAAAAAAAACAATGTGGAACTTTTAAACCTTCACACCTATAGGTAGCGTAACTGCACCCTTAAAATTAAAATCAATCTTCTTGATCTCTTACACAGGATTTTTTGGATGAATCCATTAATTATTCTTGCACACATCATTTGTAGTACTAGGGTAACACACAGGGCCAGACTGGTGCACCGGGATACCGGGAAATTTCCCAGTGGGCCGTGGCACTTGGGGCCGCACAGTGCAGCAGCCCTTCCTCTCCCCATCCAGTACACACACTCACATTGGGGTACAGGGGAGCACAGGAGTATTATGCATCAATGTGTCATTGTGGATCTGTGTGTGTGTGTGTGTGTCAGTATGGATCAATGTGTTATTGTGGATCAATGTGTGTGTGTGTGTGTGTGTGTCAGTAAGGATCAATGTGTGTGTATGTGTGCCTGTGTGTCAGTGTGGATCAATGTGTGTGTGTGTGTCAGTATGGATCAATGTGTGTGTATGTCAGGGAGTGTATATGCATTAATGTTGATTGTGTGCCAGTGTTTGTATGGGATGCAGCATTAGTTTGTGTGCCAGTGTCTGTTGATGAGTATATGTCAGTATGTATGGGCATCAGTGACTACACGCCAGTGTGTGTGCCAGTGAGTATTTATTAATTAAAAATCCATGTGTCTTTCTTTTTTTTTTTATTTATTTATTTAAAATTGTGTGTGTGTGTGTGTGTGTGTGTGTGTGTATGTGTATATATATATATATATATGTGTGTGTGTGTAGAGATTGTAGCCGTATTAGTCCAGTGATGTATATGTAAAAAACAGATAAAATTTTTATCTTGTAATACCTTTTTTATTGGACTAACAGAATTTGACAAGCTTTCGGGAGAACCTCCCTTTCTCAAGTCTGAAGCATTTCTGAGCAAGACGACACAAAATGCTTCAGAAATGCTTCAGACTTGAGAAAGGAAGGTTCTGTCGAAAGCTTGTCATTAAAAAAATTGTTAGTCCAATAAAAAAGGTATTACAAGATACGAATTTTATCTGTTTTTTTTACATATATATATATATATATATATATATATATATTATATTATAGTTTTGCTTTATTTATGTGATTTGTGGGAGTATTATGCATCCATATATTTGCACAAATGTATATTAATATATGTGTATTATATCAAAATATATATATATATATATATATGTTCAGCCCACACAGTGATCGACTGCCTGAGAGCAGAGGCAGGCATTGGGATCACTGAGGACTGAGGCAGGCAGGCTGCTGAAGGAGGGAGGGGGCAGCCGGTTCATGGAGAGCTGTGGGAGGAAGGTAGGCGGCTGACAGAGGGAATTGGGCGGCCAGCTCATTTATTGCAGAGGGAGGGAGAGGGGTGGCTGGCCCATGGAGAGCTGTGGTAGAAAAGGTGGGCAGCTGACGGAGGGGAGCAGCCGGGTAATGGAGAGCAGAGGGAGGCGGGCGGCTGTCTTAGTGCCACGGCGAAGGTGCTGTAATCTCCCTGCTCTGCTCCCTTGCGCGGCTTGCAGTGATTCACGGAGCTGGGTTATGATGTCACTCTGGCCCCCGGCTCACTAAACAGTGCGTGAGAGGGAGTTGAGTAGGGAGATGACAGCTGTGCTACTAGACCCCAGGGAAAGCATATTCTCTCCAGCTCTCTAAAGGTAGGGAGGCTGGGTGGATTTAAATTTAAATAAAAAAGTAATTACTTGTGTGTGTTTGTGAGTATGTCTGTGAGTGTGTGTGTCGTAGTGTCGGTTTGAGTGTCTGTCTCTGTGTCTGTCTGTGACTGAGTCTGAGTCGGTCAGTAAGTGTGTGTGTTCCCTCCAATCACATGGGAAAGGGTTTTTTTTTTTTACTCACCTTTTTTCCACGCTGTGGCTGGCCCCACCTCCGTGTCTGAAATCTCAATCTTGACGATCTCAGCCAATCCAATGCTTCCTCATAGCAAAGCATTGGGAGACTATTGCGCATGCACGGCAAAATGCCACTGCGCCAATTTAACTTCTCTTAGAGATGCATTGAATCAATGCATCCATATAGAGAACATTACCGTAGGTGCTGCACAGTGTGAAGCACTGACCCAGGAAGCACCTCTAGAGGCCATCTGAGTGACTGTCGCTAGAGGTGTCACCAGGCAGCAATGTAAACACTGCCCTTTGTCTGAAAAGTCAGTGTTTACATTTAAAAGCCTTCAGGGTCAGGATATAGACTTCAGAGCAACTACATTAAGCTGTAGTGGTTCTGGTGATTATAGTGTCCCTTTAAGAATTGTATTTTTAATGTTGATTTCTCTGGCTTCTAACTTTTCTAGCTGGCTGCTAGATTCCAAACTAATTTGTCAAACTGTGTGTATGTATGTGTATATATATATTTTTTTATTTTAATAATCATGTGTATACATTGCTTTGCGGCAGTCTTTAGAATGATTAAATCATGGGGTGCATTTCATGGTTTTCAGCCAGACAAATGATTGGGAATACAGTTAAACTCATGTGATGTTGATATGAATATGCAATAATGTTTAGTCAAGTTAGTGTGCTAGGTGTAATGTCTGTTTTTGAGTGCATAGTGCATTTACGTTTATTGAGAGACCGTTGTCAAACCCTCCTAAGGTCCTCAAATTTACTCACTATTTGTTAGATAGCTATAGACATATGCAAACATAATACACATTTGGAGATTACACACGTATATAAATGTAACAAGGGTTTTTATATTTTTCAAAGGGTTATTCACTAAATTTCTAATTTTAGAAAGTAATACTTTAAATTGCATAATTTAGACCAAAATAGCATATTTGAAAAATCCAAACATCGCCATAGTGACAGCTTGACTATTGTAGCCTAATTTTTGGAATTTATTCACAAAAATTATTAGTTTAGTGGATAACCCTGCCCTTCTCTCAGTCTTTCATTCACTGGTATCAAACTATATCCTATGCAGTGTGCACTCATAGGATTGAGGACTAAACAAAATAAGATTAATTTAAATTAGACATGCAGCATCTATCAGTCAATGACTATTCAGGTTTTGGGGATGAAACGTTTGGTAAATAATTTTCAATCTTTTGTGTTTTTCCACCTGTATATCTGTCACAGCTGGCACAATTAATGTTAGGGCTGGTGTAAAAAAATTCCAGGGCTGCTTTTTATTCCCAGTCCGGCCCTGGTAACACCTATTAATGATGCACAATACAACACTGTCAGTGGGTGGCTGATTTAGTATAAAATAATCATATATGAAATTTGTATTTATTATATATTTTGATATTCTTGTGTGTGAATGAAGACATTTTAACATAAGGCATGGTAACCCCTTGTACAATGCATACATATACAAATATTTCAAGTGCAAACATTAGATTTAGAATGTAATTTAAATCTTTTTTTTTTTTTTTACCAAAAACAAATGATTTTTTTATTTTTATTTTTTTATTCATATAGAATTCCCTAGGGAATGGATTCTAATGCATATATAAGTACCCTGAATTACAGGAAAGTCCTGAAGTTAATAATCATGTGTATACATTGCTTTGCGGCAGTCTTTAGAATGATAAAATCATGGGGTGCATGTTATGGTTTTCAGCCAGACAAATGATTGGGAATACAGTTAAACTCATGTGATGTTGATATGAATATGCAATAATGTTTAGTCAAGTTAGTGTGCTAGGTGTAATGTCTGTTTTTGAGTGCATAGTGCATTTACGGTTATTGAGAGACCGTTGTCAAACCCTCCTAAGGTCCTCAAATTTACTCACTATTTGTTAGATATGCATAGTTTTTATATTTTGTGTGACTGTGCTTTACCTATAGAATGTTTTGTTGACTGACTGAGAAACTGATATTGAGGGTAAAAATATGGTTGATATGGTAGGTAGAATATGGAAGTTTAAATGAAGGGTAGGAGAATGTGACTAATACACAGGTGGTGGATTTTTTTAAATAGTAATGGTAAATTGAAGATTGAGAGAAAAAGTGGGCTACATGAGGAGCTGTAGAAGTGGGATATAAAGTGAGAGCAAAGCTATACCTCCAATAAGTCACTAGTAAGTTTGGTGGGACATCATTTAATTCGTGGTCCGGTCCTTCTATTTTTAATTTTCTTACCAGAGACACCACATAACAAGTCCACATAAGGAGGCACATGAAAAAGGGTGTGTAAATGTGCTCTACGCATGTGCTATAGCCAGTCAAGCTGGTGT